TGGCAAAATTCAACCTAGTTGAACTTTTGCAAGTTCCGGAGTTAACTTATAGTCTGGTAATACCAAATGTGAATTCTAATGTTGGATAAATCCCAGCAAGTCAAGGCTACGGAAACTGCAATGCATTGAAGGAATTAACGCGGAAACTAACACATACACACCGTGCAACTCATAAGCCCAATGAGTAAGAAAGGGATGAACGATCACACGTATACAAGAGTTTCGTTAGAATTGTCAATTGGGCCTTAATAAACTTTAATAGAAATCTCTGATAGCGCTGTTGGGCAATTAACCGGTGATATAACCGCTAGGCTGGCTTGCAGGGATGGTAGCCTTAAAATCATCTTTTCATTCTTTGCTTGGTTGCGCGCATTTGGCTTAAAATTCGTAAATACAGACAATTTTTAAAATAATATACAAATTATTAAATTTAACTATTATTCTACACTTTATTAGGTGTTGGATGCGTTAGAAGGAATGTTGCGAAAAAAATTTGGTAAGCATTTCTAAACCTGTTATTCATACAACAGCCGCAGTTTAGAATTTTGAACGCCACGGTTTTCCAGTATTTTAATAAGCATAAAGAATCGTGGAATAATAAAATTTGTTAAGAAAACTCCATTTTATTTAGTACTCCTGATTTTGGAGAATAAAATTATGAAATTTAAACATATTATGTGAACATTATGTTATGATCGAATTTCACAATATACAATATATTCATACATACTCATACACCCAGAGGCATTAGTCGGTCTATAGTCCATATAAATGAATATCATGTTAATCAATTTTAATTTTACAGAGTCGGAAAGAATGTTTAGCCAGGTTGGATTGCTAATATCAGATAGGAGAACAGCACTAAAGACTAAAAATGTCAACAAATTACAAAACCAGTGGATTATTGAGAAATAAAGTACTCTACCGAAACGAATTTTAAGCATAAATTTCTTGATCTCATATTACATTAGTGAATGTATACAAAATGTATATTTTATAACTCGTCAAATCTTAGAGCAGTTTATATAGTAACATGAAAAATTTGATATGTAACTTTATTAACTTATTTGTGTTTTCCGTCATTGTTCATGTTTTGTTTTAAAAATAAATCCAGAGGCTTTTTAATAAAAATGAAATGTACAAAGCCAAGGTTTCTTGATTTAAACCAGCGAAAAGTAAGTATATTTTAAAGGGGGAGAACTATTTGCTTAAACTATCGAGTAGTGCGGCTATCGATAGTTTTGCAACTCTAGTATAAAGATTAGAGGAACATTTCTTCAATGTTTGGTACCGAACCACAAAAAACGAAAGAAGTCAACCCTCATCTAAAATTGACTATGTGACTAGGAGAAGATCTAGTCTGGTCTCGAGAAAATATTTTTACCAAGATTTATTAAGAGTCATTGAATGTACAATAGTATATAGGGGTAGGAGTAATTCAACAATGGATTTTTCAAACTTTTCGCTACAAAACTTCTGTGTATAGAATATATTTTCACTTAATTTTGTTAAGATATCCTATATATTAACCGATATACATATAAGTTATAAAGTCAATCTCAATTTCATAGATCATTGCAATAGGTGTATGGGGTCCGAAAGAAATACCAAATTTATTTTTTACAACAGATCACATTATAATTAGGAAAAAATTTTCATATTATTTCATTGGGAAATCTAAGAAATTTACACATTATATTCAACAGGCTGTATTTCAGTGAAAAATGGTCGTACAGGAAATAAAAAAACCCTGATTTTGAAGCCTGAAGACTCTAGTTTAAGAATTTTTTGGTTAAAA